TGCCGAAACCGTGCTCAAACTTACCCACAAAAATGACCCTTCGCCACAGCAAAACAGCACCTAATTGCGTGCCGAAACCGTGCTCAAACTTACCCACAAAAACTGCCTAACGCCCCTTCTGAATTCCTAGAAAAAATCTTTTTTTCTGTCTCCTGCAGCTGTTGTTTGGTGGCTCCAAGCTGCAAGCATCAGGCTTCCAGAAGGAACCCTTCGCCACAGCAAAACAGCACCTAATTGCGTGCCGAAACCGTGCTCAAACTTACCCACAAAAACTGCCTAACGCCCCTTGTGAATTCCTAGAAAAAATTTCTCTTTTTTTGTCTCCTGCAGCTGTTGTCTGGTGGCTCCAAACTGCAAGCATCAGGCTTCCAGAAGGAACCCTTCGCCACAGCAAAACAGCACCTAATTGTGTGCTGAAACCGTGCTCAAACTTACCCACAAAAACTGCCTAACGCCCCTTCTGAATTCCTAGAAAAAATATCTCTTTTTTTGTGCATCAGGCTTCGACTGGCTGCCTGCTACCTGCTTCTTGACTGCTGGCCCTGCTGGCTACTCGCTGCTGGCTGCTACCTAGAGAATCCTAAATCCTAGAGAATCTCTTCGGGAATCCTAGACTACAAAAACGCGGGCCCCGGACTGCGAAACATCATATTGCTGCTGCTGCCTGCCTGCTGCTTACCCTTATAAGTACAAGTTGCATGGCTTTGTGACTGCCTGCTGCTGCCTACTGCTGCCTGCTGCTGCCTGCTGCTGCTGCTGCTGCTGTTGCTGCTGCTGTTGCAAGCTTCCAAATGGTCGGCGGAAAATGTCTTATTCCCTGGCGCGCTCCCCCTTGCGTCGGCCGGGGTCAACATGGCACACGGGTCTGCAACGCATGTCATGTGGCCACAGTCCAAGCTGCCATCCGCAAGCGTGCCGCAGCGTTGAATGCAGAACCCCAAAAAGGGCCTAACGTCACTTCTGAAATCCTACTATAAAATTGAAACTTTGCCGCTGCCTGCCGCTGCCTGCTGCTGCCTGCTGCCTGCTGCTGCCTGCTGCTGCCTGCTCCTGCCTGCTCCTGCCTGCTGCTGGCTGCTGCCTGCTGCTGCCTGCTGCTGCCTGCTGCTGCATGCTGCTGGCAGAAGCTGCTTGCTGCCTGTTGCTGCCTTCTGCTGGTGCTGCTACTGGTGGCTGCTCCTGCTGCTGCTGTGGTGCTGCTGTGGTGCTGCTGTGGTGCTGCTGCAATCAAACAGCCTCCAAAGCAAGAAACAAACAGCCAGACACCCTTTTCGAAACACATCCGAAAGAGCAAAAACGTAGCAATGGAACCCCAAAAAAGGGCCTAACGTCACTTCTGAAACCCTACTATAAAATTGAAACTTTGCCGCTCCTGCTGCTGCCTGCTGCTGCCTGCTGCTGCCTGCTCCTGCCTGCTGCTGCCTGCTGCTGGATGGGAAAACACCATGGCAGTGAAGGACGGAGAAACCCCAAAATTGCACCCCATAAATGCCTAACGAAAACGCATAGAAAATGATGATTTTGGTTGCTTTTTCCTCTTGCTGCTGCTATGAATTTTGGCTACCTTTTCCTCCTGCTGCTGCAGAGGCTTTTGCTGCTGCTGCTGGTCCCCGACCCGTTGTTGTATTTCTTGTTGTCTACAACCTCTCTTCCCTGACGCGCTCCCCCTTGCGGTCGGCCGGGGTCGGCGGATATCGTCAATTTTTTTTTTTCCTAACTCAGGGTGCTGATTTCTGCGCCCTGACTTCGGCAAATTAGCTGTTGGACATTGCATTTAAAGGATATATGATGTAGATGTAGAAATAATGGGGGAAATTTAGTACTTGAAAAAAAATAATGATAATCAGGGACAACATTAACATTGGTGGCTTTATACCAAAGGTATATGGGGGCACCACCCTAGAAAAAACAAGAGCGTGGTTGATACCTTTTCCATTTTGATCCAGCAATTGGTTGGTACCCTTGAGAAATGGTAGTGGACCCCAGTTAATCCAAGGAATATAATAAAATAAAATAACCCTAACCGTTACTGGGACAACCAAGTGGTTGCCTAAGAATGAACATAATAGTGCACATAAAATTTTCTATGAGTATGGTAAAAAACAAAAAGTTATATTAAATAACCAATGGTAAGATGATACCCATTTAATCAACCAATTGGTTACCTCATAGGGAAAATAATAAAGTACCTATAATACAATTCAATTCCACTATCATATATTAAATAGTTGGAAAGACCCAAGAATCCATTTCCAGAGAACCCAGATCAATTGCACAACATAGATATAATATATTCTATATTTTATCGAAGTACCCAACCCCCCATTAAAAAAAAAACTATTTGAACTACGATCGAATGGTGATCGTTTGTTCTGACTGGCACTTCCACAAATAGAAGGGTAAATGGATGGAGAGACTAATTATCAACCCCCATCTTGGCATGACTACCGAAAGAAGGATAAGAATTAATAATATTGAAACATCCAAGGGACACTAACCCAAGACGATCTTTCCTTTGGGATCATTTTCGCTAGTATTTACCAAGGCCACCTACCTTGATAGATAAGATAGATAAAGAAATAAATAATGGAAAACATATATCACACAATCAGAGGTAGAACTAAATCACAAAGGACCCTAGAATCAAATTCCAAAGACCCCCTATCGGCTGCATATATTGATATATATATATATATAAAATATATTTATATTTTATCAAAGTACCCAACCCAAAAAAAACTATTTGAACTACGATCGAATGGTGATCGTTTGTTCTGACTGGCACTTCCACGAATAGAAGGGTAAATGGATGGAGACACTAATTATCAATCCCCCTCTTGGCATGATTACCGAATGGCGGATAAGAATTAACAATATATTGAAACATCCAAGGGACACTAGCCCAAGACGATCTTTCCTTTGGGATCATTTTCATTAGTATATACCAAGGCCACCTACCTTGATAGATAAGATAGATAAATAAATAAATAATGGAAAACATATATCACACAATCAGAGGTAGAACTACATCACCAAGGACCCTAGAATCCATTTCCAAAGACCCCCTATCAGCTGCAAAACCTTATATATAGAATGATTCACGTTAAGTCGGTACCCCAAATCGTTAGATAAATTCGTTTGTAACTATATTTACTGTGGGTTATCGTGATTGTAACTATATAGTCATATAGATAGGTTTACAGACCAATTTATATCTAAGGGGGCGGCACATTGTGGATATGAACCGACATTTCTATAATATCAAAATGTCAACGGGATACACGTAAATGATGGTTGCACAATGGGCCCCCAAAGAATAGGTCACTTGGATGGGTTTCACATATTTCAAAGTGGGCTAGCCCACTTTGTCCATTCCATGGGGCTGGTCTAAACATCGTTCAGCTGGTTGACAACAACCGCCGCCCCTTGTGGAAATGCGTGGAGATATCCCATGCATCGTTAACTCACTTTGGGTTGTGAAGCACTCAGAATTCCTGGGATGCACAGTGTCTGGATGTTTTCAATATCATTCACTTACCCTCTGGTACACATACATAACTATGGAAAATCACAATTTTCAATGGGTAAATCAACTATAAATGAGCCATTTTCAATAGCAAACTGTTAGTCATTACCACAGGGTAAATCAGACACGATGAGTCATATAGGGTTGCTTAAAACATACAAGAGGTGGCGCCCCCAAACCATAGGTTGGTTTGGGTGAAATCTATATGGTGAATGGTAGATATTTCACGAACTAGTATTCATTGGGGCTATAAACCAACTTATAACTAGGGTAAGTCACATCATGGATGATTAGGTGCATATGATCAATGTATTTTTAATGATATTTATAGTTACTGGAACCCAGTCAGAAATCATCCCCCAAAGCACGTTAAGAACATAATTCCCAAAAATCTATGATTCATTGTTAAATCAGTGTTTTATCATTCTTCCAATTGTAGCATGTATAGTTTATGTATATCATAGAATTGGATGATGGGAAAATTTACAGGAAACCACTATATTTCATGGTAAAAACCATGGTTTCCTGTAGATTTTCCCTTAACCCAATCCATTGAGTATAGAAAAACGACATCTGACAGCCCGTGACGGCCGGCCCAAAACGAAACACGACCGACATCTTTCGGTCAGGGACAGAGCGATGCCTGTGACAACTTCCGCTGGGAGCCTGCGGAGGCGCCGAGATGTCTGGGGACCATGGGGTTTGCGTTAGGCATTTGATAGATAGGATGTGAATCACTGGTGAATAATGGTTAATTAATAATGGTTAATAATGGGATATTAATGAATGGATGATATGGGGATATTGGATTAATCAAATTAGATTGGAGAACCAATTCCCCTACAATGTGAGGCCCCCAAGATAGCTAAGTTGGTGCAAATATCTCCAATTTCACTATGGTTTATGGTACTTATAACTATAGTTACTGGGGCGAATCTAAACCAACTTAGCTATCTTGGGGGCCTCACATTGTAGGATGTGAAATGATAACATGATTTTTACAACTGGAATTATGATATTGATGATGATATTTATGATGATTTGCGACTGATTACGCCATTTTTGAGACAAACGTCGACATCTGCAAAAGTTAAAATATAGCAATTGTGACGTGTTTTGCGGTTGCCAAATAGGTCTCACATCCTCCGTCTCGGCGCCACGTCACAGAGAAAATTGTCTATAGAATTTTGAAGGAATCTATAGATTTCTGATCCTAGTATTGCCCTGGTAGTTCAATGTTTTTGGAATTTCAAAGCCACAGAATCCGACAGTCCAGTATAACTCTGACTCCAATAACATGTCCCCGGAGAGTAACTAGTCACATCTGACCTACTATATAATCATTACTAATCAATATCATATACTCCATATTTTGGGTCATTTTGGGGGTACATGTTGATACGTGTCCCAGCGCTATGGAGCATATGGGAATAGAATGAACACAAATCGATTCGAACGCCTTGGTGGTTCACCCCAGTGGTAGGGAAAGAGCTAGGTCACTTGCAATTCGGGGGAATATAACATGTCATAACTGCTAAGTGGGGTGAACCACTAAAGTATGTATACATACAGATAATTATATATATATATATGTATACACACACACATTGTATGCACTATACTATTTTCCCAACCTGTGTGACTCCTATATCCGCAGGATGCCAATTTGTACTTGCCCAACTCGAAGATCACTTGCAATCAGAACCAACTGAAATTTGAGGTGCCACCTTGGTGCGTCGCGGGTCTGGGATATATTGGGATATGGATCTAGGTTTGTACATCTTTATTTTGTTACATCTTGCATCACTATGGTTAGGGCCTATTAGGGTGATGAATGGTGATGATTCATTTTGAAACTATCATAGGACGTCTTTATTTTGTTACATCTTGCATCACTATGGTTAGGGCCTATTAGGGTGATGAATGGTGATGATTCATTTTGAAACTATCATAGGACGTTTGAGCTGGATTGAAACTTGAAGCCACTAGGAAACCAATTCATGCTTCCTAAAAATACCACTGTGACCCAGATAGTTTGGTGGGTTTGAAGTCTGAAGTATTGATACGGTGGATGGATGGTTGCGAAATCCTGCACCACCAAACGGATGGTTGAACGCCTATAAATGATGGGATGTTTACCACCTATCAACTGGTGATAACCGGATTTCGCTGGCCCATCCACAGTAGTGTTGACCAACCATCTTGGGGTGGCAATTTTGATTAGTACTGGGCCTAGGGTATACTTGAGATGTGATGATCCGTGACTGGCTCTGATTTGGATTTTCTCAACCATCGGGCCCACAAGTGACCGGACCATCACTGCAGGTTCGTCCTTCTTGCAGCATCCTCCCACATAGTCACTGAGTACTGACACTAGGAAGTCTCGTATAAATACCAGGCTATCCCTTGCACTGGGGAAGAGTCGCGATATCACCCCACTTACATCCACTGTAGGTTTCCTAAAATAGGGGTACCCCCAGTTATCATCCATTTCTAGATGGTATTTTCCATGAAATAAACCATCCATTTGTTGTTTTTACTAGGATTTTCCATGAAGTAAATCATCAATTTCTAGCCAGCTGCGGTGAATTCCAGTGACCTTAAGGATCATCCCCTTCCGCAACGGTTTCACGAGGTGCGCGAACCGAAGAACGTGCCGGAGCTGCGCGTGATGATGTTCCGCTTGGACTCGCGGAATCCGGCGAAGACGCCACATGTGCCGCGGGCTTCGCGGGCGGTGATGGGAGGAGGTAACTGGATGGCCAGTGGCCAGTAAATTGGGATAGAACCATATAGAAGATATAGAACCTTAGCTATCTTAGCTGTTTCGTCACATGAGTATAGAATACAATGAACACAATATTAAAATGAATATACTTGGGTTTGAAGTCTGTGATTCATTGTGATGCAAATCCAAGCACTTGATCAGTGCGGATGGCAGTTGATTGATGTTTTTCATTCAGTTTGTGACACAACTTTCGCACCACGTTTTTTTTTCGATGGCACGTGCCAGGTGATGCTGAATCTTTGGAGCATCACTCATACCTCCAATGCTGTGATCATGAGCACCGAGGCGCAGCGAGTTGCCTATGTTTGGGTGTTTGCAAAGATGGTATGTGATGATTCACGACAGGATCTACATAAAGAGTGATTACATAGTATAATATATCTATAATTTATATATATATAATATCATATATACATATATATAATATATCATATATATAATATGTGCATATATAATTCATAATAATAATAATGATAATGATAATAATTATAATAATTATATTTTTGTTTGTTTAATTTATGTATGTCTTTTTTTGTGTATTTGTTTATTTATATATTTATAAATATCATCATATCCACTATTGTCAGAAATCCTGACTGATGCAAAGTGATGATAGGAATGAGTGTAAATGACCATACATCAGGCCTTTGTTTTCCAATATATGATTTATGAATAATGTGGCAACCGCAATAATAAACCTCCAATTTTGAACGGATAATACCGTAACCTTTTTCTGGCCTTGGGGATGATTTACTATTGGGTTTGCCACATACATGTGTATCATTTGGTTATATATATATATATAATTGGGTTTACATATGTTTACATTATAGTCATAGTTACGTTTGGGCTATTTGTTTTACTTAAACTGCCTTATAAGTGTCGAAAAAAAAAAAAAACTATGGTTTATGGTAGATATTTCACGAACTAGTTCATGGGGGTTATAGTTATTTCTACACCAACGTTCACATCACGTTCACATCACTGGTACCTATAGTTCATGGGTGTCACCCTCTGGTAGTTTAACATAGCTATTGAAAATGGCCATAGAAATAGTGGATTTTCCCATTAAACATGGTGATTTTCCATAGTGTTTTGTATGTTTACCAGTTTACCAGAGGGTATGTCATGGTTTTTAAACCAACTTATAACTTATTTCATGGTTTATCAACCAACAAACATCACTGGTAACTATAGTTCATGGGTGTTATGTCATTCTTTATAAACCAACGTTCACATATTATTGGGGGCCCCACATCCTATCGCCTGGCCCTCCAGGCCATTGCAAGCTGGGAGGTGGTGCGTAGCTCAGAACGGTATCGCCAGGACCTGGTGAGTGATCGAAGGTTTGGTGGTGCCCCCCATTAGCTATATGGTTATATATATGGTTTATAAATAGATACTATAGATATATCACCTATAAATTGGTTATTAAAGCCCATAGATACTATAGATATATCATGATATATCATGATAAACTATAGTATAATAGGTGATATATCATGATATATCTATAGGTGATTATTAATTATCTATATTATAGATGATATATCACCTATAAACCATAGTATAGATATATCATGATATATCACCTACGAACGATAGTATTGATATATCATGATATATCACCTGTAAACCATAGTGAAATCGGAGTTATCTTCACCAACTGAACGCTATCGAAAACGGGGACACCACCAAACATATCACAATTGTAATGATTCACCCAGAATTCTGCGGTTTTAAGTCACTTTTTTAAGTCACTTAAGTCACTTAAGTCTATGATCACCCAGTGATTCATCTCACATTCTGAAGCCATTTCCGACCTCGGCTCGGCGAAATGTCATGGGAATCATCCCATGGGATAGATGTGTCATGGTCTTCTTATGTCTTAGATGCTCAATGTGGGGAGTGACTCGCCGGAATTTTTCGAAATGGTGGATTTCACCGGATGTGGCGCTGTGCCCAGCTGTGCCCTGCTGTAAGGTGCCTCAGTTGGCGAACGTGCGGGTGATGCTGGTGGGGCAGCAGAAAGCCGAGAACTCCGTCCGGCGACTCAGAGTTGTTTCATTTTTTGAGCTGGAAAGTGGTTTTCTTGGATTGGAGCAACTTTTTTGAGTTAGTGTATGTTAGTGTATTTATAAACCAACAAACATAACTGTATTAGTTTGGGTTTTGAGCTGGAAAGTGGTGGCTTTAGCACTTGGATATTCCCCATCAACGGACCTTTAAAGTTGGGAACATCATCGATGGTGAGGCCCCTTTGTTCGATAGCTAACGTTGACGCAAATAACTTGGTTAACTAGGGGTTATGAGGGATGCAACTATATATATATATATAGTCACATTTATATATATATATAGTAATATATATAATATAGATATATATATATATATATAATATAGAGTAATATATATATATATAGTAATATATATATATAATGTATGAAATGTATAATATGTATAATATGTAAAATATGTATAATATGTATAATATGTAGTTTGGATTTGAATATCATCGGAAAACCATTGCCAACGCCCAAGTTGATTAATTAGGTGGCTACCGGCAAATAGTGATGTCATTTGCTACTTAAAAATGATGCCACAAAATTAAACAACATTACACAACCACAAACAAAAATCTAGCATTTTAATGTGTGTGTGTGTCACATGTTGATTGTTGCAGTAAGTAAAAATTAATTGAACTTGATGAGTGATTTGGCACACTTTCATCATGTTTGATACAGTGTATGTGAAGTGAATATCTACACACATACATATTACGCACAAATAACATCACCCTCCAAGTACCCATTAATAGTGGCATATATTTACAATGTAAATAATGGCATTAATAGTGGCATATAATTATTTACATAATTTGGCATATATGTAATATATTTACTCTATAATTTCCGTACTTTTACCCTGTAAATTCCTGGCTACTTGGAAGGTCTAGGCACATCTTTGGCTGTCATGGCTGCCAGATCTCTAACATGGCGGTCTCCTTCCGCCCTGTTTCGGATGCGGATGAGTTGACGTTGGAGGCAAGTGAGATCTGGTTTTCGACCCGGTGAAATGGCAAAAGAAACATGATTAAACCGAAGAGTTTGCGGCACAAATTGGGATTTAGCCAATGACTGATGGACTTTGAACCATCAACATAATGAACCTTTACGACAAACATTGGGATTTGAACAAATGAATGATGGTTTTTTGAACCATCAAACGTAGGCAATGACTTTGCCCGAAGCATTCGGATTTAGCCAATGAATGATGTATTTTGAAGCATCAAACATAGGGATTTAATCAATAACTGTTCTAGATGTATTTGGTTTCTGTCATTTTATCCTTAAATCAATTCAGCGAAGGTGGCTTGAGTCCGAGAAACGAAGCTAGGTAAATGGACCAGAGGTTACAGTAGCCTAAATCATTTGAATGCATTAGTCGTGGGTTGTATGTGTTCGTTTTGATGATGATGATGATGATGATGGTGATGATGATGATGATGATTCTGCATGTACTAATAATGATATTCCAGATTCCAGATCCCAGATGACGACTGTATTTTGAAAGTGGACTATGTTGATGGTGATCCTCCCATCCCAAACGACATTGGCCGAAGAATAAACCTGGGTGATTGGCATTGTACCATCGGAATCAATGGCTTTGGAAAACAAGTGACCAGATTTCCATGTGGTTTCTGTTCACATGTTACACTTATGGAGATGCTCTTTTATTCTTCATCGGTATGACTCACTGGATTTCAGGTTTCAGGAGAACACTAGATTGCCAAAATGCATTTTTCCATTCGTTATAAATTATGTAAATAAAATCATAAAATATGATTATTAGTTTGGCCAAATCTCATTTTCCGTAGGCCAACAGTAGTGTTTATACTTGTTTTCTTTAGGTTTTTTTTCGGTCACCTCATATTTTCGATGGTCAGAGGTACACCTAAATAGCTATCCCATGACGGATCCATGGTGCTGGTATACATGCTAACATTGGGGGTATATTGATGGGATCCATGGCACACCATAAATAGCAGCACCATGGATCTTATGGCTATTGAACATGGCCCAGTCGAAATAGTGGATTTACCCAGCTATAAAATGGTGGTGATTTTCCATAGTTTTTGTATGTTTACCGGAGGGTACCCCCCATCTTAGGAAATCTCCATATGATATGTCTCTAGTTGATGACATGTCTATACTTAATGGGCTTTATGGTGATGTTTTCGATGGGTTTGGTTACAAACCCACACCATTGTAATTTCAGGAAACCTCCGCATTTTTTATGGGATTATCAAATATATGATATATTATGAGATTACTGTAATTCTACTAAATCTACTAAATATATATGGGGTTGATGATACTAACCATAGTTACGGTACAGGAGTAATATCCAAATTCATAGGGGCTTATACCATGTTATAAGCATAAAATCCACATGTGTTGATCTGTTTCGCTGCAACAGACTTCCACACCTTTTCAGCGCTACCTCTCCAGGCGCTGCAGCCCACCGGTTTTGACTTCACCGGAGCTACAGCCATTTCTTTGGGTCATGAGGTGGTCGTGGGATTCAGGAGGGTCATCCCATGTTACCCTCTGGTTATGTCAAAATAGCTATTGAAAATGGTGATTTATAGTGGATTTTCCTTTTAAAAATGGTGGATCTTTCCATAGCTATGTTAAATTACCAGAGGGTATCCCATGAAAACCATCGTGTTCTGTGGCTAGTCAAAACCCTGGTAACTAGTGAAACCCAAAATAGGTAAATTGAGGTTCATCTCACTAAAATTGATACGAAAATAGCTTTTCACCCCCAATCCATGTTAAAATAAGAATGTTTTGTGTTTGGTTATTTAGCTCGACCTGGTTCACAATTTGGGTTTGTTTAAGGTACTTCGGCTGATTTTTTCCAATGGCAGATCCACTAGAAATGGGGAATCGAGTAAGGGAATATGTATATTACTTTATATTATTTATTTACCCTCTGGTTATTTAACATAGCCATGGGAAATGGCCCATTTCTAGATGGTTTACCTATTAAAAATGGTGATTTTCCATGGCTATGTTAAATAACCAGATGGTAGTCCTCTAAGTAATTTATCCCATCTATAAATGGGTAAGCTATGGTTATCTGCCACTTATTGAAACTATATTTTTTGGTGATCCTCCATGTGCGTTCGCACATTTTCATGGGATAACCCATGAAAGACTTACGATCACCAGGGTTACAAATATGTTACGGATCAGTTTTTACGGGATGGACCGGGATGAAATGCCAGTTTTTTTTGGGCTGCGGTGAGCCGTACCTACATGTTTTACCATACTATACTATACCCTACCCAATCTGAGTGAATTATTTAGTTATATATATATATAAGATATATATATATATTATATATATATGCAGGTTTCCTGAAATGGGGGGTACCCCTGAATCATCCATGAACAAACATATTCTATCCATACGGGCTTGACCCATAGTTTTGTCCCTTTCTACATGGTAGACTTTCAAGCCCGTTTCCACAATGAACCTTGTTTTCCAGCTTAATTCCATGGTTCCCCCAGATAAATCCGAAGGGATCACACAAAGTTGGTGCTCGGTATAATTGGTTTACAGACCCATCCAACTGGTTCGGCAACTCTACCCCTACAGTAGAGCCTGTAGCAAAAAAAACCCTCTGGTAATGACTAACAGTTTGCTATGGACACTCACCATTGCAATGTATGGGAAATCATGGAACTAAAATCTGCCAATGGCAAAGTGTAATTTCTCTGCCAAAAGGGTTTAGATAATCATTTTCCCCATGTTCTCATGTTCTCCCGTTTTTTTCTCATGATACCAGGTTACCACCATGTTTGTTGCTTAAACACACTGATGTTTCTTAAGGAACTCCCCATTTTCCAGGTGATCGCCACAAGCGCAGAGACCATCCGCATTCGAGCGTCCATGTATGCGGAGGTGCACAAAAAAACCAGGGGGGCAATGGGCTCAACTTTGGACATGTTGGATGTTTTTTGAACTGTTGGATGGTAATAAAAAGGATGATATTGGATGATGGATAGATTCGAATCATTTTCGATGTTTTGAGATGATGAAAGAAGTTTTGCAAGCTGAATGTTTTGGATGTTTGGTAAGCTTACTACAGCGTTGGATACCAGTGCAAGTAGTTTTGGTCAACAAGAAAGCTGCATTTTGCCATCCCAAGGAATCGGAGTCACATGGGATCTCGCCTACAGTGAGATGGGGTAACATGAAGCGAAAAACATAGCTATAGGGACACCAGCTTGCATGATCCGTAGAACCAGATGATGGGAATATTTTAACCGGAAACCCCTATATTTGATGGCAAAAACCATGGTTTCCTGTAGATTTTCCCTTGAATCAATCCATTGAATGATAGTTTATTCAAAGCATCATGGAGTATGTCAGACGAAGGTCACCAGGCGAAATGCTGCAGCTGTTTTTCGCAGCAATCCTATCCCATCCCCCTAAAAAAAGAACAGTTTAAAAAGAACAGTTTAGATATGTTTAGATGCACTAAATGAACAGTTTGGATTTTCCTTCATATACAGTCCCAAATGAACTGATTCAAGAAATCAGGGTGGCCAGCGGCTTGGTCAAATTCATGCGAGCAAAGTTTTTCTGGTTGGTGGTTTGGAATATTGTTTACTTTTCCATATATTGGGAATAATCATAATAATCATCCCAACTGACGAACTCATATTTTTCAGAGGGGTAGGTATACCACCAACAAGTAATGTTTGTTTCAATTTGTTTCTGTACTTTTCCGAACAAAAGGAGTCGACTGATTTCTCGAGCCCTCACCGCCAGCAGAACAGGACACATCCGCATTCTTGTCTTGTCCGGTAAATGTCCTATTCATCCACATTTGTGTGTTAGTTCCATCATATAGTACATATATATATACATATATATATAATCATCATACATATTCATGTTGGGGATATGTGTGGTGGTTCACATTCTAAAATGCATCATCATCGTTCGCATGATTGTTTTTTTGATGTAAGTTTATGGATATATTCTGGGTAAATTATAACGACCTCACTGCGACCTCACTGGAAATCATAGTTAGTAAGGGAAATCATCCCCAAATGGCCTTAATTCAGGTTAGTGAATTATTATAATTTACCCAGGTTTGGTGCTCCATGTTGCCCTATGTTTCTTGCTTGAAATCTGTGACATGTCCCGCATCAAACACCACATGCACCCGAAATGTGTTTCTTGGTGGTTGAACCTCTGAGGAGGTGGCACTTCCCCCCTGCTGATTGCTCCTCAACAAAAAAACAATCAAGAAAAATCAAAACAATGAACAAGCAATGTTACGGATGTTTATGGATGTTTGTGGTATTATAATTATAATTATATATATATATGAACATATATATATATATAATTATATAGAACTGGCTCGTTGGATGGGCTTGGGGCACCGCCGCAGATCAACGTGGACATCGTGGTGGCCAACTTCAGGTTGGGTTTGATCGGTGGCGCCACGCTCTTCAATTTGATCACCAAGCTGAACAACGGGGACCCCGCCAGGGCTCAGTGAAAAGGGGACCGCCAGGTTTGTGGGCTATCATAGATGGTACCCTCTGGTAATTTAACAGTTTGCTATTGAAAATGGCCCATAGAAATAGTGGATTTTCCCATTAAACATGGTGATTTTCAATAGTTATGTTAGTTGACCAGAGGGTATCTCATTTATATAGAATTATCTCATTTCTATCATAGTGTGTCCAAAAAATGAGATAAATAAACTATACCATCTATGAATATCCTATGATAAACTAGATAAACTGAGCCCCATTTTATGGGTATTTTATGGAGAAATTGATGATAAACCATTGGAGTTTAGGGCATCCTATTTTCAGACACAAAGTGGAGGTCCCCCCAAAAAAAATGTTTGTTTATACGATTTTGTCTTCACCCATCCGACCCATCCCACTGCAGATATCCCCCATAAACAACCATAAACATCCATCAACCTATCCTGTAGCCAACTTACCAAAAGCTTCGGTCCAAACACGTTGAAATAAACCCTTCAAACCTGAAACCGATTGAACGCAGGCCATGGACCGTGTAAATGTTAGCAGCACATGTCAATGTTTGAGACTAGTACAGCCGATTGAGATATGCTTAAGCACCATGGATTTAGACACTTTTAGCATTCATCAGCCATCATGGAGCGCTTTGTGTTCGATGATTATTGGATGTGTTCCAGCCATCAGAATGCATTTTGCATTAAAATTCTTAAATTATGATATTATGCATGGATTTAACGCTCATTTTCAGCAAATTGATGTCATGGATTGTTTAAACACGCTTGATTTAAGAACCTTTTAGAAACTGAATTGTTTTCACAGAGCCCGGCCCGGCTCTGTTTTGTAGCCATAGACTTGTAGTCATTCAATGAGCAACGTCACGTACGTATCCCATTTGAAATTGGGAAGATTTATCAGGAGATAAACCTTAAATTGCTCAGTGTTTATTTGACATAAAATCAAATCTGATTTTCTCTCATTTGGGTCTAGTAACCAACCAGTCAATGGATTGGTTGGGAAAATCTTCACCGGATTTTCCATATGGTTTTTACCATTTTTTATATGGGGCTTTCCGGTGAAAATTTTCCCTTTCAAGATTTTCCATGGTTTTTACATGTTTTTACCATGAAAGTTATGGGGCTTTCCGGTGAAAATGTTCCCCAACAAACCCACCCAGTGAACCAACCAACCAGCCATATCGGTTCCTCGAGGACCAGATGGACGAGGCCCTTCAGTTCCGCTCCGGCTTCCACCTGCCCGGCCGCGTTGCTTGGAATGATCCGCTACGGCTGTGTCGTGTCTGGGACGCCATTTAACTCATATAGGACACCTATAAGCATGGGAGAATATGGGATGGTTAATGATGGTTAATGATGGTGAATACCGAAAAAAAACATGGTATTAGCCATATACGCATATCATTTCTTTGGATATAAAATATGGTTAATGATGGTGAATGATGGTAATGATGGTGAATATGGATTAGCAATGGTTAAAATATGGATTAACCATATACGCATATCAATGAATATGGGATGGTTAATGATGGTTAATGATGGTTAATGATGGTTAATGATGGTGAATGATTGCTATTGGTCATTTTTTAGATGGGATGATGATGACCCGGCCTATGACCTTTTTTACCATCAAGTTTTGGGGTTGGCTTATTTTGTTGACAAAGCCATGTTATACTGTACTTCCTTCGAGGGAGAGAGGTGACAAGCGGCTTTGTGTAATTATTTTTAGCATGCTGTTTTGCCGGTTCACAATCACAATCAAAAAAGAACATGCAGATTCAAATTACAATGACCTACCTCAACAACCTTATTTGTGTAAGGGATGCTTCCTAGGATGTGACAAGTTTAGGCAAGATTCTGGGTACGACCACTGGAAATCAAAAATCGCCAGACATATGGTGGGTTGAAGTCAGTATGAACTCGACTGCGTAACGAAGTTCATGGCACAGAACAACATCTCATTCTATGAACTATCCATAGGCTAGGTCATCATTATCCCATCTATGACAAATAACCATCATTAACCACCCCATATTCTCCCATGCTTATAGGTTACCTTCTGGTAAACATACAAAAAATGTGGAAAGATCCACCATTTTATAGCTGGGTAATTCCACTATTTCTATGGCCATTTTCAATAGAAAACTGTTAAATTACCAGAGGGTATCCATAACTATCCCGGACTATCACATTCTAGATCAGATTCCAATTCTGGTTGGTTTGATTCTCTTTGTAAGCCCCAAGAAAAAATCCATCGCGTTGGGCCGAAAAGGGAGCCCAGACGTTGCACATGACCATTCCGTTGGCGGTCTCCGGTTCTTGGCCCTTGGCAGACCTTTTCGTTTCACCATGGACCTTGCAAGGGCTTTTCCATGAGGGCTTGTAACTTTTGATTGTTGCATTTTTGGACCTTTGTTATGACTTGTTATGACTGTGCGGCTCTGATAAGACATCTGAGCTCATGGAAGCCGGGAGTGCACCAGCCTTGCTTCGGCAGTAGGAGCCTGGCGCACAGAGCCATCCTCGACTTATGAATCCCACAGCTGCCCGAAGGGACCGATCTGGAAAGAGAACAGGCCATCTCAGGCTTCCCTTCAATGAATATGCCAAGCTCCAGCTTCAGCAGCCCAAGTCTCCGATTTTTGGACCTCAGATTGGGCGGTAGCATTTTCTACCCGCTGGTAATTTAACATAGCTATTGAAAATGACAATTTATAGTGGATTTTCCCATTGAAAATGGTGATTTTCCATAGTTTTTTGTATGTTTACCAGAGGGTATCATTTTCTTCAGCTTCAGCAGGTAGCCGCTTCAGAGTGCGTAAAACTATGCTCACCTGACTGCTCGACTCAGGTTGCGGTGAATGGCAAGCAGATTAGCAGCGAGTGCGCAGAGATGAATTCTGGGTGAAGCGACTGGATGGACACTTTATTGATGTGGTTAACCCAACATAAGCCAAAGCCATAAACCATCCCAGTAACCAAACATGGCGGTGATTTCATTCTATTCCATTGTTAGGGGTATACTCAGTGCCATAAACCTCTATAGGGGATGATGGATAAATACCAATGGGTTTACAGTATATATGGCTTTACCACATTACTTCAATAATATGTTGCCAAAAAAACAGGGATACATGCTCATGGTTTTTTCTGTGCCCTTATTTAGTTGTTGGTGGTTAATGGGGCAGGGGTTAGTCCCTATGACATGATCTATATTTTTTAGATATTGGGCCCCCATGGGCCCCATGCCCACATCAAGACGCCGGCCTTGGATAGGTACAAGTTGATGTCGGAGCTCTATCCAGTGCCGTCTCTTTGGGAGGTGCACCGCTGGGACTTTTCATGGGATTTTTTGTGCGGCGCGTCAACCGACGTTAAAACGATTGGTTTGAAGATGTTGGAAACCCAAATCCATGGGTTCATTTGGTTTCGTTGATGACTGTAATCATGTTGATGACAGTAAAGTTCAGTAAAGTATATTAAAAAAAAAACAATCCGTTGATGACTGTAATTAATCATTCTTCTTTATCCCTATTTGTTATACCGTACCCAGAGGCGCATGTACCAGTTACCATCCGGTGATCGAACATGGCAATGGGACATCCCCCATTTAGTTCGATAAAGTGCCCATTTCCACGTTTGATTACCAGAGGGTCTACCTCTTTATTGCATATATCAGAATGTAAATGGGCTCACAACCACCATAGCCAAAGTAAACTCGGGCGCCAAACATGGGGGAGCTCACCCATACCTATGGGATTATGGGCGTGATTTTTTTGTTTTTACAAAATCAGAGATACGGAGATCAGAGCCCTTCTCGTGGTGAGATGTGCGGAACAAAATCCAGTGATTACCCTCTGGTAATTTAACATAGCTATTGAAAATTGACATTTATAGTGAGTTTTCCCATTAAAATGGTGATTTTCCATAGCTATGTTAGTTTACCAGAGGGTAGTTGTTGAAACAGGAGGGACACCCGCATTTTCCAAAATCAACAGGGAAGGGACCCATTTTTAGGTGATCCTTCGATGATCGTCCACCATTTCCATCCATTTACCCTCTGGTAAACTAACATAACTATGGAAAATCATTTTTTATATGGGTAATTCAACTATAAATGGCCTTTCTTAATAGCTACGTTAAATTACCTGAGAGTATATGTTATCCAGCCGCTTTGTGAAACTGATGCGGTCCATCTTGGAGAACCACCATCTAATCTATGATGATATTTTATGTGTATATATATAATATAATATTATATTATATTATAATCACCACCCCTTTAGGCCAATCTATATCTATATGTTGTATACACATATGAGACCTCATATATATATATATAATTATACAAATAATTGCATACCAACATTTTTCACATGTATATATATATATATCATATATTGTATCTCATATGGGCAAAACTTCTCCACTCCTCGGCTCTCTTCGGGTCATTTCTGCCAGCACCAGGTGAGAATGGGAGAAAATGCCTTGGTCGAGATGCCCTTCACGGTGACCATCAACACGGGCGCATCTTGGAGACGTCGGAACATGGTGCCCTGGTGCCCTTCAAAGGGAACGAAACCATAGGGAAAACCACAGGAAAAGTGGTAAAAACCATAGGAAACAGTGGTAAAAACCATAGAAACAGTGGGGAAAAGCATAGGAAGTGGAGACCCTCTAATCAAACGTGGCTAGCTGGAACAAATCCTATAAATGGAGATTTTTTAATGGGAAAATCATCTATAAATGAAGGATTGGCCGTTGCCACGTTTTATTACCGGAAGGTGGAAATGCTACAGACTGCTACAGCCTTGGATAGAACTCGACTAGCTGAAGATGATCTTTGAAGATTTCCGAGGCAGAATAGATAATAGTTCAATAGAAGTTCATAGAAATGGTACAATAGAAATTGTACTCAAGTTGTGTTTTTTTTTTTTGTGGGGTGTGTCATCTGTGTTTGGTGCGTGTGGTTTCACCACAGCCAGCCTAGTTGTTGGTGAAATCCCAAAACTATACGCTGCTCTGTTTGTTTCGACGCAGGATTTTTGTGACATGGAAATGTGCTATTTTCATGGACAACATACAAAAAAGTGACATGGTTTCGGGATGTTTCCGGTGAATGTTCCCTCTAAATGTCTACAAGTTACATTAAACATATCAAAACAGTGATACGTAGATATACGTAGGTGGCAAAGAACTGCAACTCCTCTGAGATGACAGCGTATTCCCAAGCCGTTCAGCAGTTGAAAGGACCCCAGAATTTCAGTTGAGTCATGAGCCGGAAATTGGGCGATTGCATTTTTCGACATGCACTTCATTTAAACAAGTTCAACACATAGAGATATTTGTGCATACTTTGTGTTGACACATAGATATTCAAGTATACTACTGAATCATTTCAATCATGATCCACATAGCACTACACAACTGGATATCAAACATCCATGAAAACCATTCTTACCGACCAAAAAAAACGGCTCTAAGTTGGGCGACATCATGCGCGTGCGAGCTCCGCCCTATGATCTCAAGGCGCCCATTTTCTGCAGATTCTCCGGAGAGCCCTGGATTTCCGACTAAAAAGTACCACGACACTTTCCCAGATGCTCCATGTATGGAATATTTGCCTACATTTGGGTGATTTTTGGGGTAAATGTAGGTAAATATTCCATACATGGAGCATATGGGTTTGGAATGGCATCTATAGATATCTATAACAGCTATGGATCTTAAAACCGATAATTTTTGGGATGAACTTCCAGCTAAACCAGCCCAGCTATGTGTTCAACCGTGTTTGACCGTGTTGAACTGTTGAACCGATCAAAATCTGCAGGGCGGAATATCTTGGACAACATGTATTTTTACCGGAAACGGAGCTTGCGCCCTTCGGTTTTTCTGGGTGATTTCCATGGATTTCTTGCCGCAGATGCTCTTCCATACTTGGATGTACTGTAGCCGTTCTCATTTATTTTCATGTGTTAAACTGCCAAACAAACATATCCCTCATACATCCTCATACTCACAATGACATGTCATGAAGCGAATATGAAAAGACACTTGAAACAGAGGAAGAAGTGGGAATTCCATGGAAATCCCTCCTCAAACATCTTATATAATCATATATATATATATCATAATGATATATATCATAAGATATATATATATATATCATAATATGTATATATGTATATAATATATATTATAATATATATATATTATATAATATATATATATACACTATATATCCCCATGATATCCCCATGTTTTTGTCCCACCGGATCCGTCGCAGGGCCAGGACTTCCGAATCATCCAGAGCGGTACCGCTGAGATCATCACCTCGGAGGCCCCCGATAATCGAAGAAACCGCAGCGACGGCGACGCATGGTGAATCTTTCCATGGCGAACTGTTAGTCATAAGCAGATGGTATATGATACATATATATATATGATATATTATATATATATGGGATATGGCAGATATGGCAGATATGGCAGATATGGCAGATATGGGCTATGTTTTTTGTTTGGATGTATGATATTCATGGGATGTATGAAGGATATGAATGGGATTTGAATGGTGTAGTGATGGGATATTCGCGGAATATATCGAATCAGATCGGATTAATGGGATACTGGTTTAATGATATGTGAAGGGAAGTATGAAGGATACATAGGGATATATTGATTATATTTAATGCAATATTAATAGATAATAAGTAAAGGATGCTTATAGTAGTCAAACGATAGGTTGCTGTTGGTTGAAAAACACTAGACCAACTACGTGTTATTGTGGATTTTGGATATTGTCTACAGTTCGATGGGTGAACATAAGCCAAGTTAGAACTTAGGGCAGACTTATTGGAACTCTAAGTCTCTAAGGCGAGGCCCCTCAGTTATCACTTGGTTTATAAATCCAATTAGTTAACATGAATTAAGTATAGTTGCATAAACATCCATAGTCCACCAAGCTATAAGTCGACTTAGCTATCGAACGGGGGGCTCGCATGGGCTCGCCCTGTATGTTATAATCAGTCATATATCAGTCATATATCAGTCATATATGCAAGTTAGGACTTGTATTGATGGATATAGGATGATATAGCTTTGTCCCGAAAGATGAGACGATCTGAGTTCAATTCTCCAGCTGTTGAGTTTGTTAAACATTCCAAACCCAAGATATCCAAGATTGAACAGTTAGTTAGTCAACAAGTAAGTGTTAGTTAGTAACCCAATATGAAACAGTCATTATTAACTGTCAGTGGCAGTATTGTAAACATGTTAATAAAAACATGATCCAGATATAATCTACATCTATCAACTGTTAGACATTCATGTCCGTTGACCGTTTATCAACATTTATCTATACTCAACCAGGCTTTGTCTGAAAATGGGCATGGTTTATCATCATTATTCCCATTCAATGGCTGTTTTATGGGTACACCGGGTACACATTCACATCCGCAGTGATTCACCGCGTGACAGGTGGTGAGTGCAGCAAGCGGGGAGCTCGTGGCGCGCTTGAGCACCCAGATCTTCCGCAATGTCTTGTACGAGGCACGTCGGATCACCTGCGAGATGTGGCAGAGATTTTTCGGGAAGGATTTACTGCTGCTTGGTGCTTTGGAACATGAATTTTCCATCTTTAATAGGTATAAGAACGAACTACATGGATCTAAATGGGCCATGGCTTCTATAGCTATGTTAGTTTACCAGAGGGTAATCTGATGGTTTGGAACATGTTTTATAACTTTCCAGATCTTGGGAATTTCATAATCCCAACTGACGAACTCATATTGTTCAGAGGGGTTCAAACCACCAGTGATTCATGGCTGGATTTCAATCCGGCGGCTGATCTGAGGACACGACTAAGGCTGACTAAGGGGAATGGCGCAGCTGAGAATCATCCCATTTGGGTCAAAATATGAACCCCTGGGGCCATAAGCATAAAACCATAGGAAAACCATAGGAAAACCATAGAAAACCATAGGCCCAGAATTGGGTTTCCCCCAGCAAATAACAGGTGCTACAGAAGCGTACCAAATTGTCCTTTAGGAATCCCAGATGGGATTTTCCGGACAAGCGTGCCTTCGTTGCGACTTGTGTTGCAACGCATGACTCTCACCTTGCAGATGTATTGTACAAGTGACGCAACCCATTCATTAAAGGTATTGACCCATCCCCAACTCTTTGTTTTTTTTTCCCAATCCCGCAGCTGTTCTTTTACTGGCAAAAATCCGTTCTTTTGTGGTTGAATAGCCTTTTTTATGGGTAAATGCTGGTAAATGATGCAGATCGGGTGACAATTATACCATTCTTTGATGCTAAATCCATCCCAACTCTTCATTAAAGTCGTCAAATAAAAAACAGGGGTCCCGGTTTCAACACTTGGCTATGGATCAATACCTATTAATACCATTTTTAGTGGGATGAACATCCATTTACCAGCTATTTTGATGTTCACCAGGGGTACAAGGTTTTGACACATTGCCACTTGGCCAGGTACAAGTGAAGGTCTTAACTCCAAAGGTGCCCAATCCCACAGATGCCATGTGGAGCATCGAGGCGGGAGCTTCAATGGTCTGGGCACCCGAAAAACATCCAAGTTTCATGGATCAAATGATGCCAAGAAACATTTACCTTCTGGTAAACTAACATAACTATGGAAAATCACCATGTTTGATGGGAAAATCAACTATAAATGGCCATTTTCAATAGCTACGTTAAATTACCCAGAGGGTATGCGGATTATTTTATATCATCAAATTCTGGGGATACCATGTTTTCGGACAAAGCCAAAACTGGTGAAGTTTTTGTAGTGTTTTGAAGTGTTATTCACCAGTTGAAATCATGGAAAGAATGTCATTCGGAAGAATACTTAGCAGGAAAGTAGCTATGCTGGAATGTAATTTAACCTAGGATTGGTTGGTAAAATCTCCAAGATGAATGTACTTGGTGTCCTGTGGTTTTAGATCTGGGATGATATGTGCCATGAAAAAAGGGCGATGGTCACAAAAATCCGTGAAATGTCTATAAAGGCCAATGTATGCCAATGAATAAGGGTTCCCATCCGTGATGGTAGGATGACCATAGCCTATTCACTGGATTTCCTTTGAAGGATAACACAAGTCATGTCCACTGACTTTATCGTTGGTGGTTTCAAGCATGTGTTTTTTTTTTCCAACCGTAAAAATATGGGTGATCATCATTGATGACAAGCATGCTTTATTCAGATGCGTTTTATAGCACTCACGACTTGGCCATTCTGGGGTTAATGGTTATTATTTGTCTAATATGTTCCTTTTACAATGTGGTAATCTAACAGTTTTCCGTGGAAATTTGGCCATGTTTACCATGTATATAAGTCATCTATTTTCATGGGTCACATCCCTACTCGGAAGTGATGTTCCCAATTAAAAGTGTATATCTCAAAGTATGGTGGTTTACATAACATATACATAACATTATATAACAATATATAACAATCTATAACATTATATAACAATGTTTATATTCATTTCGCTCAAGTGCACCCCCAACTTTTTTAGAATCCCATCTCTCAGTTGCGCTTAGTGGCTCTCAGCCTGTGGTGGCCATGGTCGCGTTGGCCGCGTTGGCCACGTTGGCCACGTTGGCCTTGCTGCCGTGCCGTGGAGCAATGTGGAGCACGGGTGGGATGGATCCGTAGGTACCAAGGGATAGCAACCATGTGATATGCTATGATATCCTCTGGTTACCCTCTGGTTATGTCAAAATAGCTATTGAAAATGGCCATTTATAGTGAGTTTTCCCATTAAAAATGGTGATTTTCCGTAGCTATGTTAGTTTACCAGAGGGTAACGTTTACATAGCGAACTGGAAAGATCCACCATGTTCAATGGGTAAATCAACGATTTCGACTGGGCCATGTTCAATAGCAAACCGTGAAATTACCAGAGGGTATTTGATAATATATCGGATAAACAATAATGTTTGAAGATATAATGTTTATGAATGTGATACATACAGTAATATATATTTGATTATATAATGTTGGTAAAACAATTATAAACCACCCACCCCCAATGTCATCATGAATAGGTGGTATAAATCATTCCCAAATGGGTGGTTTATTATTGTTTTACCCACATTACATATATGGGTTTGCTCAGAAAAGTCACATCCGACTCTGAAATAATGGCGAATTACTTGTTGTTCCTTTTTGGCTCTGATAGATGGGACAGAATATATAGTCATATAACGATCTGTAATGGGGATTTGCTGCGGGTATGTGGCTGCGAGTCGAGTACAAGATATGGACCAGACATTTGGCCCACATCCATTCCAACCCCCCGATCCATAGCAAAATGATGGTGTTTCATACGCTTTTCCATGCGTGTGGATCACTGCGTGAGCAATTCAAAGGAAATTTTTGACTCAAGGCCATATGGCCACATAGCAACAATGTACCTCCAAAGTTCTCCATAGATGTGGAGTTTACCCACTATTTGTAGATCATTTTACTAGGGAAATTGGCTTTCAACATCTTAGTTTGCCCAGAGTAATATTTGGTTTTGTCCTAGAATCGGACCCAATAGAAGTGCTTGAATTGATGGTCAAAGTCAAAGGATGTTGTAGGGGTTATACAGGAAGTCGTACATGGAAGGTAGGATGCTTAGGATGCTTAGGATGGATGATTCGGTCAAAGCGGGCTTGTGGACACTGATGACCAAACATCAATCCTAACTTCGATATCAATCCTAACTTCGATATTCATCCAAAATGGTGGTTGAACCTTTGGATGACTGGACTTGGCTTAAACAGTTTGCAGTTTGGAGCTTTGAAGATTTGGTAGACATGTAGGAGTTTGAAAAAAAGTCCTAGCCTATATGATACGTTATATTATATACCATTATAATCCATTATATATATATATACCATTATATATCTATTCACATAGAATCCTAGTATTGCAGCCTTCTCTCAAGTGAATCCCTTGACTTTTTGGGAAAACGAGCTTTTGTACCTTTTTTTTCGGGGCATGTTGTGCATTGTAAGCCCGGGACATCCCCATCCCTGCCTCCCAGGTGTGTGGCATCGCAGATCGTGCTCAACGCCTCGGTCCGGGGACTGGGCGATGCTCAGTTTGGTCAAGGCGGATGTTCGCAGAAGTTCAACATGGTCGAAATCCAGGAGCCGATCGAACGGGGAATATGAATGATAGACATGGAATGAAAAAAAGGAATGACGATGAACTATGATGAACTATCATATATATGATTATATATAACTGTTTCGAAAGATAGTTCTAGTTCAAAGCAAGGCTATCATATAAATCATATATGATAGTTATCAATGATCATTAGCCTTGTTTTGAACTATTTATAACTAGCTTTCTCATGGATGTTTCTGGTAGGACTGACCATCCGGGGTTGATCCCTGTGGAAACAAGTGCGACTGGGGCATTAATTTCTTTGCAGAAAGTCGCTAGTGTATTTGTGTTTGGACGTTGAAAGTACTGCATGTTTTTGTTTTTTATGACAGAACTGTTGGAAAACATATATTTTGTCAGTCAAGTGCATTCCAAAAGGACTTTTCTGTCCCACAGTGGCCAAAACACTCCAGCTGGAATGAGTGCTATGTGCTAAACATGGAAAAGAGACCGAAAAGAGATACACCCACAACGGCAAGAGTCACTTTGTTGATGTAGGCAAGGTGCATCTAGTCTGGCGTTGCCAAATATGATACATCAATTCATAAATGCATCATGCCAACATGCGCACATGCGTTGGTGCATACATTCATACATAATGTATATATATATATACATATGTATACACATCGATAGATACATCCACAATCCATCCATAGTATATACCCCGTAATTACCCTAGGCCCTGAACATCACTCTTCCAAGGCCTATTTGGGGGGATGACACGTAGCTTGTTGCCAGGAGATGAAGGAGGTGAGTGACCCACAGCTTCTTGGCAGTCAGGTGTTTTTTAAAATAATTTGTCTATGTCTTGTGGCTTGATGTTCCAGTTTGTACACTCTTAACATATATATATTTACATAATGTATACATATATATATATATATGTATATATATATATATATATGCATATGCATATTTTGCATATATATATATATTATGGTGCATATATTTTTGCCCATCTATGTGTTTTTTTTGGTATGTATATCTAAACATGAGTATATAAAAAGCTTTTCGGGATTTATGATGAAGGTGTGTAAGGTTCACATGAGTGAATTTTCCACCCCAGTTGATGAGTCAATGAACCTGGATCAACCCTTGCAGCAGGAAATGGGTGGATGCGCACAACTACTACAGGCCGCTGGCAACGACTCACCGGATGATTCTGAAAGTTATGTTTTTGTCAGATTCCAAACGGTAACAACTTGTTTTGTTGTTACATCATGTGACAAATCCCCCCTAACCCCAAGCCTAAGTGGGATGATCTTAACTATAGGGACATATCCCTCTTTTTTCAAGCCAAACGTTTAACTAGCCTCTGGTAAACTAAGAATTTGCGAACTTGAAAATGGCCATAGAAATAGTTGATTTATCCATATTTTTTGCATGGTGATTTTCCCCTGGTTTTTGGTATGTTCACCAGAGGGTAAATGGGATGATTGTCTCATGAAAACCGCCATTTAAGTCGGCGAGTTCCCCATTGAAACATCTTCAAAGCACCATCTACAGTTGATTTTCCCATAAAGTTGTATCAACTATAGTTACCCTCTGGTAAACATTAAAAAAAACTAAAAAAACTATGGAAAATCACCATTTTTAATGGGACAACTCACTATTTCTATGGCCATTTTCAATAGCAAACTGTTAAACTACCAGAGGGTACATCCCGTAAACTACAACTATAGTTAACTAAATCTAGGTCAATCGGCTGGATGGGTAGAAACCAATCCTGCTGTCTTTTGGTATCAATGGGATTCTCTACGTTCAGCAGCAACGTTTTCTTTTCAGGGTATCTAAGATTGGCCATGGCTTTATAGTTACCCTCTGGTTATGTCAAAATAGCTATTGAAAATGGCCATAGAAATAGTGAGTTTTCCCATTAAAAATGGTGGATCTTTCCATAGCTATGTAAACGTTTACCAGAGGGTAACTAAATGGACCCCTTAAAAATGATGATTTTCCATAGTCATGTTTATCGGGTAAATGGGATGGTCAACTATAGGGACATATCCCTCTAATCAACCCAAACATTTAACTAGCCTCTGCTAAACTCACATGGAATATCAATTTCGAAAAAAGTTAAATGGAATATCAATCCCATTCTAAGGTATTCTTTTCTGGTCATAATAGGTATATCGGTATATCCCATAAACTAGAACTATAGTTGTCAGTGTTAATATGTAACATAGACTATAGTTGATAGTCAAGAACTATAGTTATACGTAGTTGTCTTAAATAAGTAAATGGAACATCAATCCCAAGCCTCTGGTAAACTACAGTTTGCTATTGAAAATGGCCATTTGTAGTGAGTTGTCCCATTCAAAATGGTGATGTCCCATACAATGTGAGGCCCCCCAGTTACAAGTTGGTTTATAAACCCCAGTAACTAGTTCGTTATATCTGCCATAAACCAGAGTGAAATTGGAGTTATTTGCACCAACTTAGCTATCTTGGGGGCCTCACATTGTAGTGAGTTTTCCCATTAAAAATGGTGAGTTTCCATCGTTTTTTGTATGTTTACCAGGCCGGGTACTGGTCATAGGTTCAACGGGAATTTCAGGATCCTAAAATGGAGGTACTGTACCATATAAGGCCATATTTTGGGGGGATATCCCCTTACATAGGCCTTACATAGGCCTTAAATATGGGAGGTACCTCCAATTTAGGTAGAAATGGGATGATCCAAGAAGAGGGAAACCTCGTTGCTCGAAGGCGCTGCCACGGTGCCCCAGAGCTGCGTTGGGCTCCGGAGCTCTTGGTGACCGCCAGCGCTTGGGTGCACCAGCTGTTAGCGCACTGCGCGACGGGGCAGGTGGGGGAATTTTCCATGGGAAAAGCCATGGCGGAAGGGGGGGGAAACCATGGGAAAACCCGTAGGAAAACACTGGGAGAATGGTGATTTAACCAAGAAACTATGGTACTTCAATGAGATTCCTGGCTGATTTTTGAATAGCTACGTTGATGCAAATAGCTGATGTGTATGATTCTATAGTTGGATAATGTTATAACATGTTATAACCACGGGGCACCACCTAGTAGGGAACATGCTGCTAGATCAGATTCATATTCTTGGTAAAATTCATATTCATCCACAATGCCCCAAAACTATGGGTTTCAATGCACAATTTGTTTCATTATATACTTTCGAAATTTGGTGGTAACCCAATTTCAGGAACCCCCTGTATGTACCTCATTGTATCCATGGCTATCTCTAGTCTTCCAACTTCACGCATGCCCATGCTGGAGTGAAGTGTAGGGACTGAAGGGAATATCGGGAACATCACCAGTTAGAAAATAGTCCAAACAAACATATTGCATGTTGATGATTTTTGTCTGTATGTTGTTGCCTTGGAAACAGTGTATCTTAGATTAGCCACGGCTGTAGGTCATTATCGTGCCCAACAAACAAACCATGGGATGTGATCACCACAGATGGGGATGCAACGAAGAAAACATTGGAATTATCCAACACAATTTACTCCCTTCACGTGATCCCCACCAACTGATATGTTCAGACATTATTCATGATCATTGTCTTTGTCTATATATATATTTATATATATATACATATTCTAAACACATTTTATTTGACATTCTATCTTACCTAAATTCTGGCACAAACATATTGTGACCGTCAATCTCCGGTTGGCCCCAGAGAGCGGAGGGGAGCAGAGCAGCTGGCAGAACTGGGGAACCAGTTCTGGAGGATTTTTGCTGCTTATAACTGGTTGGTGGTTTCAAACATTTTTTATTTTCCATAATATATGGGTTGTCATCCTTCCCATTGACTTTCATATTTTTCAGAGGGATTGAAACCACCAACCAGATAATCTGTGATATTGATTTTGATACAACCCAGATTAGCTCACCATGGTGCTGGAATATTTACAAAAACTGGGTGAAAACTTGGACAGCCGGGCATTGCGGTTGGGATTCATATTCCAGCATCATTTATACAATAGATCAATGGGATAATCGATCACAATATCAACATCTATAGAATTTAAAAATACCATTTGGTTATTTAACATAGCCATGGAAAATCACAATTTTTAAATAGTTTTAATAGGTATATAATCCATCTATTTCTATGGGCCATCTATATCATGGCTATGTTAGTCATAATTAGAGGGTATATTTCTTTTTTATATTTGATACAATAGAGATAAACAGAAATTTATATATAGATTGTATCTATAGATTTGTATATATATATATATATTTATCAATAGAGATATTCATAGATCCATCTGATTCTTTCCCAGTTTCCTGCCTTTTTATCCAGGACTTAGAGGCTTGGGCAGCAGCAGGACGACGGCTTTCATCCAAAATCCAATTGGTGATCATTGGTGACTCGTGAACACCAGGAGAGTTGGTAAATGATGATATGAGCTGTGGTCAATACTCATGGTTAATAACCATTAATAGGGGCTAGTCATCCAATGGTTCATAGGGATTTATAATAACCATTATAAGGATCCTTATTATGGATGGGATGACCATCAACCATATAGTGAGTATTGACCATGGCTCATATAATAGTGTATGGTTTATCCATTGATGGATATTACTATGGATTAATAGTTGATAAATGATAGTTGGTGTATGGTTTATTATCCATCATTTACAGTTAAACACTTTATGAGAATCTATTTTATCATACAGAATCTGTTTTGTTTCATGAATTATATGATTCTGAATTCGTATTTTTGTATCTTAACGAACATCCACCAGTAGAGGTATCCATTCCTAGCTATAATATGTATTCATCCATTCCTAGCTATCTGGAACGCGGACACTACCAAGAACAAAATTCAATGGATTGGTTTAAGGGAAAATTTACAGGAAAGCCCCATATTGAATGGGAAAATCTATGGTGTCCTGTAGATTTTCCCTTGAACCAATCCATTGAAAAATGGTACACGTTGAGTTAGTGACCTTTTTTCTATTCGCTCTCGTTTTTTTTGTGGAGGTTGGCAGTCCCAAAAATCTGAAAGAATCCTTCGACATAAAAAAAAGTACATGTTCCATCCCCAAGATCGCGCACTGTGGCGTCGTGACATAAAAACAGACATGGTTTCCAGGTAAATATATAAATAACATGTCCAACATATAGTGGTCCGTTTTTTTAATGACCATGTCGGGTGATTCTTCAACAAAATGGCGTTCACTCATTATCCACGTACTGACCATGAGGGTGGTCCACTTTGATTGATAGCTTATGCTGGGTAAACAGCATAAACAAATGGTGGTGTCAAAAATGGACCATGCCCAAAAATGGCAATGTTTGAGTTTATGGTGATGAGGATGTTTCACCACTGTTTTAGGGGTGTATACGGACAAACCCAAATGTATACATTGGAAATCCAACTAACAAATTTGATTATTGCAACGGAATCAAAAAGCACCAACAGATCCAATTAATATCCAATGGAAAATCCTTCTCCCAATCCATTGAAAGATGTTTTTCGCAGTGCAAAAAATACATCGCCATGTTGTCATTTGGCAATTTATGTCCCATCATTGGATGAACATTTGGTGAAGAACTGAGTTGTTGAATTTCAAGAACTCGGGATGTGATTGAAACCAACCCAATGAAAAAAACTCAGTTGGGTCATTTTTGGAGCTATCTCACCCTGAGTCCTCAAATATGGAGGTGTGGCTCAAAATGGCAAATATATATATATATATATATTGATATATATATATATATTAATATATATATATAGTTATTTATTTATTTATTTATTTATTTATTTATTATATGGGTATAACAATAACCATCAATAGTTAGGAAGTACAGGGAAAATTTCAGCATGAACTGGTCCGTGGTTTCAAATAGCCTGTTCAACCATGGAAATGGGTTACGAGCATAGTTTTGGGCTTGAAACCATCAGAAATTGAACTGACCCTGATTTTGTGATGTGTTCCCCAGTTGCCCAAGATGACCAGCGCCCCTTTCTTTCGGGTCCCCAAGGCTTCCCCATGGGCCACCTCTCACTTTCAGGAGCGACTCTGGGCCGTCCCCATGACCCCAATCTCTTCACCACTGAGAAGCCCGCGGCCCAACTTGTTTCGTTTCGAAAGTTGGGTGGAAGCCTGTGATTCACTACAATGTGAGGCCCCCCAGTTATAAGTTGGTTTATAAGCCCCAGTAACTATATAGTTATAAGTACAATAAACCATAGTTATTGGAGTTATAAACCAACTTAGCTATCTTGGGGCCTCACATTGTATAATTCCATATAGTTCCTATAATTTAACATTGGAATGATTGGAATGATTGGAATGTGCAGGGTACCCCTGACAGGGATCTATTTCTGGGATTTGTTGATATGTTTCAAGGGTCCGAATTATATGTTATGATGTCCTGCCATGCCCGGAGTGGCAACGATGTTCTTCTATGCATGCGAGGAGTCCTCGAATTATGCACCAAAGATTTCGGAACAAGATATTGCATTGAATTTGGTTGCAGAAAAAAAAAACATGGATATTGTTTGCAAGTTTTGACTGGAATTTGCAGACAACTTAAAAATCAAACCTAAATCAACTAGAGAGAAATATGGAGTTTGTATCAGACCCTCCAAAAATGTGTTCTGTTGATTGTATATATATATATACATATTATTATTATATATATATATATATTATATATATGTGTGTGTGTGTGTATTGGTTTCCAACATGAAAATCCCTTTGGATGATCCCCACTGAGGCCCCAACAGGCCGAAAACTTGGATTGCAGGCAGTACGAGTCTCGGCGAATCCGATCTCGCTGGGGATATCTGGAGATATTTTGGGATATTTCTTGGGATTTCTTTGGGCACCGCAACAGATAGTTGGGTTGGTTTTGTTCTACTGAAGTACTGACCAAAACAGACCAATCATTGTAGCAGGATGGTGCCCCCCAGTGATGTTTGTTGGTTTATAAACCCCATTAACTATAGTTATATCTACCATAAACCAGAGTGAAATTGGAGTTATTTGCACCAACTTAGCTAACTATGGGGCACCACCTTGTGGGTGTCTTAATCTTTTCTATAGCTTCGTTATTGCATTATTGGTGAGGCCACACAGTTTCTTGGTTTCTTTGGATCCCGCATGTGACCAACTGAGCAGTGTTCAAGTTAGTCCTGCTGGGTGATGATTAGATTACAGGGGCTTCTGGATTACCCTCTGGTAAACTAACGTAACTATGGAAAGATCCACCATTTTTAATGGGTAAATCCACCATTTCTATGGCCATTTTCTATAGCGAACTGTTAGCTTACCAGAGGGTAAGCCATTATGAGAATCTTTATTACCATATTGGGAAAAACACGTCCATTAGCCAGCTATTTTAGGGTACCTAGGGTACCAGGGTTTTGACTCATAGCCAATGTCTGAAACTGGGGTACCCCTAGATCCACTGGTTCATCATCATTATCTCTATTAAATGATATTAAATAGCTATATATAAATGAGGTTACACACGTTTCAGACAAACCCACTTAGATCATGAAATCGCAATTTTGGTGGATCATTTACTCGGCCCTTGCAGATAAATCCTTCAATCCACGCTCTCGTCACTTGCATCACCGTATGTTTTTTGCTTAAATCAGAAAGTCCTCTAGATGTTTCTAGATGTTTCTAGTGTATAACGCACAACCACCGCAGCTATTTGATCGTAAATCATGACATATTTAAAATATTTTGTTATTAGTGACATTCTCTAATTGTTATTGTGTAAATGAAATCCTCCAGAGCAAAGCGCTGGTTGAATTGTGAGATGTTGGTTAAAGGTCCAACTTTGCTAGTTTCACCATCAAGTCCCTGGTTTGTTTGAGTCATATCATGTTTACGGTGCTTTTATTCCTGTTGGCTAAACGGCTAAACGGCTAAAGTCCATTTTTTCTTGGCCAAATTCCCTGTTTGTGTTGGTTGAATCACCAAATATCCACATCATGTTCCCGTCTCTACAGTCAAATTCTTCATGATTGCTAACATTATCCGGACTCAATTTTTGTTGGTTCGATATCACCATATTTCAGCCATCAAACCTATGGGATCCAAGGTTTATATATCCCAAGGTTTCTCATATGCTTTCCTATCACAATGGTTTCCTATTCTTCAGCCATGTTGCTCCTCCCATGCCCAAGGATTCCATTCACGATCCTGAAGCTGCTTCAGTGGAAGCATGGTACCGCGAGGCGAGGGTTGCCACCGCATGGCCTAGCTATCAACCAACGTAGCTGTCGTTTGGGGGCCCCACTTTGCATCATCTACTTGTATCCCAATCATATCCCATGAATATGCCATGAATATGCCATCAATATCCATTATATCATCCCATTCGTATGCAATATCCAATTCATAACATTAATATTCAGTTTTTGATACCATGAATCTCCCATTTTTTAAAAAAACTGTCACATTGCTTGGTGAAAAGTAAGTAAAATCACCCCCAGCAGCCCAGCCGCCAGGTGTCCGCATGCCCCAAAGCTGGTTGGGTGGATGGCTGCGGCGGGAAGTTGAATCATTACACCGCTCGGCTCCACAGGAGATGGCATTCCCAGGGACCCACATTTCCAACAACCACAGACGACTCAGAGTCGATGTAAACATCTCATTTTTCGTATTAACATAGAGAAATTAGATATAGATTAAAGTCTATGGTATGATTTTTGGTGAATTTAATCTATGTTTATCTAATCTTTAGTCTAAGTATTGGAATACCCAATTTTTTTTGGGAAAATCCAAGGTTTCACAACTGGAGGATCACCCCATACCAGTGGCATTTTACCCAGCTGCTACTAACCGGATCCCAGGGATGAACCGAAGCCTGGAATCATGGTTCAATATTGAGGAATCATCCCCAAAATGGCCGAAGAATTCAGGTTAGTGAAATATGATTTCATTGGGCCCCAGATGTATTATATATGTATTATATGTAATTATGATTAATTATATGTATGTGGGATAGATGATATTTACCCAGAGATATTTACTGGGATTGATTTCATCAACAATATGTATCAATGATGTGTCTTATTTGGGTGTCTCTTTTAACGGGCTGTATGAATCTGTATGTCCGCCCAAATGTCCATGGATGAAAACGGACACATATGTTCGAAACCTTGGGATTGAGGGATGCTCTGTCGAGCACAAACCCAACCCGGAATGGAGTAGCATTTGAACCATGCTGGATCACTGGATCGCGAGAGGTTAATCTATTACCAAACCGAAAATTATTTTGGTTCAACCCCCAGTTTTCACCATCATTTTTGGTTTGTGTTCCCATTGTTCCGGGTTAAACCTGATTTATCAACCAAAAGACCAATGTAAATTCATCCCCATACAACGTGGGCCCCCAAAATAGGTAAGTCGGTTTACAGCTACAAGAGCGAGGATTTATGGTGGAGCTAGCTACAGTCGAACGGTTTTCTAAGCCAACCTATATCATCTTTGGGCCCCGCTTAGTGAAGACACTACATGGTTAGTAACTTGATACAATTAAGTTCTGTATAGTTGGTATTTCATAGCTTCCAACCCAATCTAAGTTGGTTTATGTCACGCATCTAACTATATACTAAATTTCTAATCACCACTATTTGCAGTTACCCATATCGATAAGCCAACTTAGCTATTCGTACATATACTTTATCCCCAAGAATTGGTTGGTTAAATCCTGGATTTCTACTATAAATGGTGATTTAATGGTGATTTAATTTAATGGTGATTTAATGGTGATTTAATTGTGATTCTACTATAAAACCATAGGAAAATGGTGGTTTAACCACCCCATTTTTGCTGAACTCCTGGCGTGGCCAAGGCCTTGATTTGGCGCGACGCGCGGCGCGTGGCTTGCTACGTCGCCCTCCGCGGTGACATGCGCGTGGTCAGCTGTCGCTTCGCGGCGGAGGGTGACGACACCACGGGGTGCCAGGTGCCGAATACCGTGGGGCCGCCAGGCGGGTGGGGATGGGGATGGGTTTCATGAAAAACGATGAAAAAGAACCAAGAGAACCATAGATAACCAAGGAAATCTTGGGCAATTCAGTAAGAACACTTTTTAAGTTTTGGAACATGTTTACTTGGTGGTTTTATTTGTTCTGTTTAGTTGTATACTTCTAGTCTGCCGTTTGGGAGGGTGATCTTAGTTAATATGTCGGGACTGGTACAGAAAGTTTGGGGATCCATTTCAACGATTCCCATGATGGGATGGATGACCATAATCAATTCATGTTTTGACCATGGCACATATAGATTGGATGATCTCACGTTTGGTCTTTATACATCGTCGGTTGAACTTTTCAACTAACTAGTGCTTCCCTGGTGTTTTTTTCTCATGACGGACACCCAATCATCAACCATGTACTGAGTAGTGGTCGTTTAATTGTTGTCCCTGAAACCTTTGAAATTGTGCGTGTGTGTGTGTGCGCGTTTCCTTCCTTGAGGAATTCTGATGTTCACGGTTTTTTTCTCGGAAGTTGCTTCGCCATTCTCACAGGAAACATTTATGATTAACCATTGGATTGTGGGTTTCCCAACATGTTCAGTACCAAACTCAAATAGACTCAAATATCTTGTTGTTTTTCCATATCCCATTATGTATTTATGCAACATGATAACCTCTGTTCTTTGATTGTGATAGTTTGGTTTTTGAAAATGATAGTTTCATTTTGGCTGAAAAATGCAGTATTTTTTTGCTTTTCCATTTTGGGATGGTTTTCCAACATGTTTCTTTTCATTTTCTAGGGATAAGTTTTCATGCTAAAATTGAAACCTGGAGGGGGGGGCAGGTCAGAACCAAAAAGACATGCTGTAATTCCAACAACAAGTATCATGATTACAGAACCAAACAAAACACATACACACAGTAGTCATGCTTAAATTGAAACCTGGAGGGGTGGGGGCAGTTCAGAACAAAAAACATGCTGTAATTCAAGCAACAAGTATCATGATTATTGAACCAAACAAAACACATACACACAGTAGTCATGCTTAAATTGAAACCTGGAGGGGTGGGGGCAGTTCAGAACAAAAAAACATGCTGTAATTCAAACAACAAGTATCATGATTGCTGAACCAAACACACACACACACTAACCTGGAGGGGGGGGCAGGTCAGAACAACAAACATGTTGTAATTCAAACAACAAGTTTCATGATTACTGAACCAAACACAAACATACACACACACACAGACTGCCAATGACCATCAAGCATCATGAGCATAAATATATATATATATATATGTATATATATATATATATTTAATCAAGGGTCATGCACATATGATACCAATATAATGTCACCAAGAGTCATAAAATCATAAAATACCACCCAGTGTCCCCGGGTTGTCATCCACTTGTGATACCACCATGCACACAAGTCATGAACATATATGTGATACCATTAATTTGTACCTGCAGGTTTCCTGGACAGGTGATGCCGTTGCAGCAGCCTTCAGCTGGGGTTTGGACAGGACTCGGCGTTCCGAGTGCTGGGGATAATGTCCCTGAACAAGGGACTAGCCCTGAACAAGGGCATCATAACCCCTGAAATAATGGGCTTCAATTCCAAGACTTGGCATTCCAGGCCTTGGCAATTGAATTACATCAAATTCAATTCCAAGACTTGGCGTTCCAGGCCTTGGCAATTGAATTAAGACATCAACTTCAATTCCAAGACTTGGCGTTCCAGGCCTTGGCAATTGAATTAAGACATCAACTTCAATTCCAGGACTTGGCATTCCAGGCCTGGGCAATTGAATTACATAAAATTCAACTCCAAGACTTGGCGTTCCAGGCCTTGGCAATTGAATTAAGACATCAACTTCAATTCCAAGACTTGGCGTTCCAGGCCTTGGCAATTGAATTAAGACATCAACTTCAATTCCAAGACTTGGCATTCCAGGCCTTGGCAATAGAATTCGTATCCGTTCCAAGAAAAGGGTTAAACAAAAATCTGTCTCGTAGCTGGCAAGTACATACATACACCTCCCTTTCATTTTCAAAGTTGTGAGAGTTCATCAGGAATAACTACAATCTAGAAGGTGATTTTTTTATATTCTTATTTTCACAAATGAGTTGGATGACTATATGCATAGTTTTTTTTTGTCTGGTGCGCGGCATTTTTGGGGCTTGGTGTGATCTACAGGTGTTCAATGCATATACATGACTATACTCATACACTTCTAGTGGATTGCATGCTCCAACCATCAGGTTCCCAAATGTGGTTGTAGGAATGGAGCTGCATAGGAACCTAAATACCGACTGATTTGACATTAGGATTTCAAGTGGCAGACCTTCAACCAAATTAAACAAAAACACACGGTTTCACTCATGGATTTGAAGGCATGATTAGATATGCATAGTTGTGACTAGTGTAACAATGGAACAGTTTGAATTTGCTTACTATGGTCTTTGCGCCAAAAGGTGTCGAACTTTAGCTGCTCTTGACAGAAAACACATTGTACCAACAGGGCACTGTTACTCTTCTAGATAAACCATACTCTTGGAGGGACATTCCATCATGCCTCTCTTGGTGATTTCCGTTCAAGGTTCCAAATGTCCAAGATGAACATGATTGTTTTTTGTTTCTCTTGGGCTTCAATTTCAATATGATGTTGTTCTTGATGATGGTTTTTAAATGTGGAAGTTGAAAATGAAATTCAGACTTGGTCATTTTCCAAGTCTGCAGAAAATCTATTTGGGCTTGGTCTCCCAGAAATTGTTTTGGCACAATAGTGAATCTTAAATGCACTTCAAGACTTGGCCTCGCAAGTCTTGCACTGACAAGCATGATCACTGAGACTTTTAAGGTTGTTCTCGATGTGATGCAAATGAGTTCTTCAAAAGTTCAAGGCTTGAATCCAAGTCCAACCACTCATGTTTGTCTCAATTGGCTTCGCCTCCCAGGTCTTTCAAATATGATTGATTCATGGCAGTTACCATTAACATCGTTCAGAACTTGGCTTTATCAGTATTACTTTTTTGTCCTTTCATGACTTGGTCTTTCAATACATGAACATATTTTTTCAAGACTTGGCATCCCAAGTTTTGAAACAAAAAGGTAAGAGTTCACCCTTAACTTGTCCAAATGCATTGCGCCAAGTTCTGGATTTGATTGGACTTGGCATTCCAAGTCTGGAACTTAACTTGATCCATCTTGGTAACTATTTGACCTTCCAAGTCTTCAAGCTCAAGACTTGGGTTTTTGTTGCAAAGTTTTCTGCCTTGGCTCACCAATGAAGTTAGTCTTTGCGACTTTTTAAAAATAATAGGTTTCAACACTTGCTACCGCCCCGAGCCTGAAAACTTGCAAACAAGCTGTTCTGTAGTTTGATACTTGTTATGTTTCCTGTTGGGTGTCCAGAGTGGTAAAGATTGGTCGTGTGCTCACGACTTGGAACTCCAAGTCCGGAGCCCAAGAATGATATTGCAATACTTGGCCTTCAAGTGTTCGAAATGATATTCTTCCACTTCCAATTTTTAACCCCTCCTAACATTTTACAACCATGTACTAAACTGTGTAACAAGCGGAAACTTTATACCTGTGTTTTTTTCTGCCGTATTTGGGGCTGTGCCCGCATGATTCTTTACACATGATGCCATCTTAAAACTTGGCGTCTCAAATTTTGAAACCATCTGTTTTTTTTAATGCTTGCACATGCCTTTTACAAAAGACACAATGTGGAATTTCATGGCATCATGCCATCTTCAAGACTTGGCTTCCCCAGTCTTGAAACTGTTTGCAGCTAGTTTTTGCTAACAATAGACTGTGGACATCCAAGGCATGAACACGATGGGTTGTTTTTCAAGGCTTGGCATCCCAAGTTCTGAAACGTGACATTTTTTCAACTCATGTCCCTAGGTCTTGACAACGGTACCAATTGTAACATTCATCCAGATTTGGCATTCCAAAGCGGTAGAGATGGGCCATTGTGCAGCTTAAGAATGGTACATTGCAATACTTGGCCTCAAAGTGTGGAAATGAGGTTCCTGAGAAAATGGTTTAGCTTCTTAAGACTTTGCATTGGCTCATGCGGATGAAATTATCTAACAGTCAGAAACTTGCCACACTTCCCTTCCCAAGTCTTGAAACCTTTCGGGGTAAAGAATTTCAACATTAGACCCTTGCCACGAATTATGTCTTTCATGACTTGGTCTTCCAAGACATGAACACAAGTGAACATGATTGTCAAGACTTGGCAGCCACAACAGATCTGAAATCCTACATTTTTCTTTCAAGACTTGGCAGTACCCCAAGTTTTGAAATGTGACATTTTTTTGCAGTCCCATGTCCCCAAGCCTTACAATGATTGCTCTATTCAAGACTTGGCTTTCCAAGTCTTGAAACTTTTCGGGGTAAAGCATTTCAACATTATAGACCCTTGCCAAGAATTATGTCTTTCATGACTTGGTCTTCCAAGACATGAACACATTTGGAAATATTTTTTCAAGACTTGGCAGCCAGAGTTCTGAAATCTTGCATGTTTTCAAGACTTGGAATCCCAAGTTTTGAAATGTTTTTTTGCAATTCCATGTCCCCAAGTCTTGACAATGATTGCACTATTCAAGACTTGGCTTTCCAACTCTTGAAACCTTTTGGGCCAAAGAATTTCAACAGTATAAGTAAGAATTATGCCTTTCATGCCTTTGTCTTCCAAGACATGAACACATCTGGAAATATTTTCAAGACTTGGCAGACCAAGTTCGGAAATCTTTTTTTCAAGACTTGGTATTCCAAGTTTTGAAATGTACATTTTTTGCAACACCATGTCCCCAAGTCTGGACAATGACTGCGCTATTCAAGACTTGGCTTTCCAAGTCTTGGAACTTTTCGGGGCAAAGAATTTCAACATCAGACCCTTGCCACGAATTATGTCTTTCATGACTTGGTCTTCCAAGACATGAACACAAGTGAACATGATTGTCAAGACTTGGCAGCCACAACAGTTCTGAAA